GTGACTTTACTAACCCAGAATATCACACAGAGCCAAATGCTTTTAAGCTAACTCCATTTGTTGCTTTTGATTTCTTTTATAAAGCAAGACAGGGTTTCTCTCTGTAGCCTTGGCTGCCCTGGAACTTGCTTTGTACACTGGGCTAGCCTTGAACTCATAGGGATCCACCTGCCTTTGCCTCTAGAGTACTGGGATTAAAGGCAGCTGTTTTAAACTTTTATAGTGAAAATTTGTTCTTTTCACAATTACTTTCAACCTCCTACTTTCAGAGAGTTATATTCGACCTAATTATCACTGCACACACACACATCTAATTAATCAAAATTAATTAAAAAAGTGTTTACCCTGTAAGAAGCATGAGAACATGATTTCATACTTATAAAAAACAAAATAAAACTTAATACTGTTACTTCCACCACTTGTAATCTTTGAATGTGCTAGAAGACAGAAGCAGATCCGTGGGGCTCAACACCCATCCAGTTTAGCTTATTCAGTGAGAGTCATTGTAACTGAAAAGATGTGGATAGTACCTTTAGAATGACACCTAATTTAGACCTCTGGCTTCCACGTGTATGTGCACATATAAGCATGTGCACATATAAGCAAATGAACTTGCACACACAAAAAATAAATTCAGAGAATTAGGCATAAAATAAGCATTTAAATATAACATAATGAAAAAATATTTAATACAGATATTGAAATTGTGAAAGAATTACAAAATTACTAAAGTCTAATTAAATAGCCCTAACATATTCTACGTGCTCATACTGCTAGAAGAAAGACTGAGAACACAAAAAGAGATGAAGGATACAAAATATTCAAAACAAACGTCTATACATGCCTGAATAAACAAAATATACTGACTGGTATTAATAGGAAATTATGCATTTCAACAGAAATGATTACTAGATCTGCAAACATACCAGTTGTAATTGTACCATATGAAACACAAGAAGACTGAAAATAAGTATCTGAGCACTGAGGGGTTGTGGAACACCTTGAAGCAATATTATAAACCCATAATTGCTATGAAAGAGGAGGAAAGAGAGTGACAGTGAGAAAAAATAAATAGTAGCAGAAATAATGATTAATTTTTGTCCTAAAGTCAATTAATACTACAAAGATATATGTAGACAGTATCTCTCCTGCCTGATCCCACAACAATTTTCTTCCAAATAAATACACAGAGGCGTATATTAATTAGAAACTGTTGGCTGGTGGCTCTGGCTTCTCCTGAATAGCTCTCTCTTAATTATTAACCCATTTCTATTACACTATGTATTGCCATGAGGCAGTGGTTTACCCATATTGCTTCGGCATGTTACTCCTTTTAGGCACTACATGGCATTTCCCTGATGCCATCCTCTCCTCAGAATTCTCCTCGTCTAGTAGCCCACTATGCTCCCTGCCTGGCTACTGGAAAATCAGTGTTTTATAAATCAACCAATTAAAGAGAAATATATATAACACAGAAGGACATTCCCCATCAGATGTAGCTGACAGGGATTCAAGTAAGTTCTAAACAAGACCAAGAGACAAGCAGAGGAGCTGCACATAAGGTAAAGGGAGATGACAGTAAATATGATGGCAAATTTCTTTTTGGAATAAGCTTAAGCCAAAAGAGAGAGCAGAAATAATACTTCTGCGGTATTAAAAGAAAATAAAAGCAACAAAACGCTGTCAACAATGAATTTAATCTCAGCAAAACTATATTTTTAGTAAAATTGAGGTTTTGTTTTTCAGCCACACAAAGATTGGAAGGAATCATAATCAGCCTAGCTGCACAGCAGAAAATGATACATGACATCAATATCCAGCATGATGAGACTTTACTGAAACTAAGAATGACCATTAAGAGATGCTGTTAGAAAAATGAAGGGGACTGAACATAATTTTCATGGAAATTTGTAAGTGATAGTTCTTATGATTTAAAGTTTAAAGGATTGGTTGCTTAAAGCAAAACTACTAATATATTATGGAGCTTGTAACATTTGCAGACGTACAAAACTTATTAAGATACTACAATGCAAAAATAGTTTTGTTTTGGTATTCAATTGAAGGCACACAGAACAAAGTAAAAGATCCACCATTAAGCTCAGGTACAATATTGATTCTTGATAAAATTCATGAAGCAAAATTCCTAACCCTTTACTCAATTGGGGTATAACAGACCTTGAACATTAAGGACATTTGTTTCTTCTTCCAGAAATATTAATAGACAAGGTAACACAGAAAGGGGAAATCTCATAGAGACTCAAACCTAGACAAAGTACTCAGAAAATTAGGAGTAGGAGAAACAATCTTCCTTAGAGGAGAGCCTGCATATTGGGTATTCAATACCAAAGGATCAGGTCTGAAACTACAGACATACAAATGACACCATGTGGATTCAGCAGGATGTGTGTGTGTGTGTGTGTGTGTGTGTGTGTGTGTGTGTGTGTGTGTGTGTTTCTTGAAGGGAAGAAACTGAAGAGAATAAATGATAAGTGATAAAATCACATTTTAATTTCAAAAAATTAAAATAAATGAAATAGAAACCATAGTTTTGAAAGTCAGTAAAAACAACTGTTAGCCAAGTAGGTTTGTTAAAACCACCATCATTACTAACACCACCATGGCTATAACATCAGTAGGTAAGTTATGCTTCAGCACCCATAACACTGTGACCAAGAACATATGAACTATATCATTGACTAATGTAGAGTTATGCCGCCATGACACTGATTTCTGTCTAATCTCATTGATATAGATTACCATAAAGACGAAAACCAGTTTGCATCAGTAGAAGTCAGATAAATGGTTGTCTGAGATAGAGGGGAAAATAAACGACATGGCTATTGGAGGTGGACATTTCATGGGTACATACGTGTGTCAGAATTGATGAATGTGTCCATTTCATTGTGTGTATACTATACTTAAATGGCAATACTAAGAAAGATACCAAATATTTCACAAACTTAAATGCTAAGTATAAAAACTAAAAGAATTTTCAAAAATTAAAAGAATTATGTATTATGCGAATGAGTTTAGACTATGAGGTGATAGCGCCGAAGGTGCCACGCATCCGCTCTTGTAAAGTCATGAAAGCTTATTTTAGCCAGGTCTAGCATGGGTATTCCACTCAGACAAAGCAATACCTGCTCATGTAGTAGAGTCTGTGTTTGAACAAATTGAGTACAGGTAGACAAAATATAACAAAGAAATGTAGTGATCAAAAATAAAAGTATTATCCTGCCCATCATGTTCTCTGACATGGTGATCCTCTATTTCTAGGACACATAGCTGCCATTGAGACAAAAATACAATCTTAGATGATTTGATAAAATGCACTCCGCTCAGCAGAAAGAATTGGACGTACATGGGGAGTTCACACAAACTCTCCTGGTAAAAACTGTTTCACCCCACCATCACCTCTGCTTTCACGTTATTTATACACCAGACTTCTTTTGAAGGGAAAAGAGAGTGGGAGGTGGGGGGAGGATATTGAACCCAGCTTGGGCTATGTGATGGATGATATCAGAGTGCCGAGAAACCAAAGCGTTCTCCACAGATGGTTTGTGATACAGGATTTCAGGCTGGCAAATCTGTTTGTGGCTCTTTGGTCTTCACTGAAAATAATGCAGTGAGCAAAGACTGTCTGGGTCAGGGATGTCCAAATTTCCAGACTGTACAAATTTTGCTTAGCAGTAGAAAGTAGTCATATTCCAAATTTTCATTTTGTCTTACCTAATTACATAAAGGCAAGTATGTCTTAAAATATTTGTTCAAGCAGGTCCAATAATTCTAACAAACAATGAGAAAACAGGGTTGTACAGCAACATAACTACAACTCTTTGTCATAGTATAAGGCCCTGTCATCAGCATGCCTCACCCTAGAGAATTGTGCTAAAGATTCATTTGTGATGTAGTGAGATTGTCTGAATTGGTCATACTTCCCTGAAATGCATATATTACAAGTGCTGATTGAGGCTTCGTGCCTAGACTCCAAAGAGACGGTTTTTGTCTCTGATTTCAAAATAGAAAGCATTTCCAACTGACATGATTTTTATTAATAAATAAATAAAGACTTTGCACAAGAAAAAAGGGAAGTTTCAAGTTGCAGCTTAGTCTTTGTTTTTACAAGTCATTATTACGAAGGATATCAAAGAGCTTTCTTGGAGCATACAAGATCAGCTGAAAATATTTCTCTTGAGAGAAATTTCCCTGGCTCTTGAGGATGTCAGATTTGGGTTTGTAAGTGGAGAGGAGTAGACACAAGTGGTTCTATCCAGTGGGAAAACAGGGCTAAAATACATGACTAGCCATACTGAAGTCACAACCACTTTGAATGATACTACCTACAAAGCCTTGTACACAAGCAAACACACATTGATAATGATTCAGAAGAGTAAATATTTGACAACACAAGCTAATGCAAACTAGAAGCCAATTGTTAATGTTTTTTCCAGTCAATTTTTACAAATTAAAATACTGGTTCAGCCAAGAGAGTGCATTTTTTAAAAAGTTGAATTATCAATATTTGCAAGTGAATAACGGATAAAATAATGTAACACACTTCTAGTTCAGCTCAGCTAACCTTTGACCCATTTCCATTATACAGAATGTATGTTTTCTGTGAAATGGAAAACAATATTCTCAGATCAAGAAGAAAAGGCTTATATCTAGTAAATTAGTGTATGTGTGACAAGTTACAAAAGCAAAATATAAACATTCACATTATGTTATGGCATCTTGTCACTTCTGTCTATTTTAACTTCAATTGTCACTTACATGTGTCAGTATCATGCGTAATTCCAAAACTCACATTTTTCCATAGGTGTCCCAAGTGTGATAGTTGTAGATAAACTGTACAATTCATAAGAAAATAGAGTGTGTAGAAAAAGGGTACCAGAAGACAGGGTCATAACTTGCGTAGATACTAATGCCTCATTAATCACTCAATGTGTAAAGTGCCTTAGTTTAATTTTTAAGAGATAAATATGAAATTTGTTCCTTACTTTTTTGTACCCAGTGCTGTTCTTAGGTTACATTTACTAAAAATCTTCAACATTCTCTGCTGCCATCAGTCACTGGGTGAAGGTTCTAGGATCTCCTGGGCAGATCGGGAACATAGGGGAAGGTGAGAGGGAACCAGGAAAAAGAGAAGGGGATAAGAGGAGGGCAGAAGAAGGCATGGAGAAACAGGAAGGTAGAGTCGAGGTAAGAATAGAGGAGAGCAGGATGAGAGATACCATAATAGATGGAGTCATTATAGGCTTGAGGAGAGAGCTGACACTAGTGAGATCTCCAGTGATCTACAAGGATAACACCAACTGGAAAACTAAACATTAGGGGAGGGACTATACTAATAGCCCCTCCTTGATGATAAGGTTGATGACTACCTTATATGCCATCCTAGAACTTTCATCCAGTGACTAATGGAAGCTGAGACAGATAGATACCTTCAGCTAAACACTGAACTGACTCCCTGGAACTCAGTGACAGAGATGGAGGAGTGATGAGCAAAGGGGTCAAGACCTTACTGGTGCAACCGACAAAGACAGCTGACCAGATAAGGGGGAGCTCTTGAATCCCAGACTGATGCCTGAGAGGCCAACAGGGGACTGATCCAGACTCCATGAATGGAGTGTCAGTGAGGAGGCCTCAGAAATCTCTGGGGCCTTGGGTAGTAGATTAGTGTTCACTATGGCATATAAATGAACTTTGGGAGCCCATTCCACATGGAGGGATGCTCTCTCAGCCTGGACACATGGGGAAGGGCCTAGGTCCTGCCCTGGATGAAATGACAGACTCTGGAGATCCCGCCAAGGAGGGCTTCACCCTCCCTGGGGAATGGTGTGGGGATTGGGTGGAGGATTGGGGGGTGTGAGTAGGCCTGGGAGGGAGAAGTTTGGTTAGCTGGGATTGACATTTGAAGCATGCATGTTTCTAACTTAAATAAAAACATAAAAATAATCTTTAAAAATCCAATTATCCTGGCTTGCTTGCTGTTACTATGATAAATAAAATGATCAACAGCAAGTTGGGATGGAATGGGCTTATCTTATCTGAAATTTTACATTCCATCAGTGGGAAAATTCAGGGCAGGAATTTAAGATAGGAACCTGGAGGCAGGAACTGAATCAGAGACCATGGATGAATGATACTTCCTGAATTGTTCCTGCTGGCTCCTTCAATTTGCTTTCTTATACAACCCTGTACTATCTGCTCATGGCCAGCACCAAGGATAGTGAGCCTTGCCCTCCAGTATCAACCATTAATCGTGAAAATATCTCTCAGACTAAACTATAGGCCAATCCATGGAGGCATTTCCTCAACTGAGCCTCCCTACCCCCAGATCATCCTAGCTTTTGTCAAGTATTCAAAGGCCTAACTTATCATCGTCCCTAAAGACAAAAATCACAATCATAAAGGAAATGATAGTAGAAACAAAATTTGTTCAAGATTACAATTATTGTCCTCGTAACTCTGTGCAAATTTCTATCCTTTGATTACACAACCAATCATTCTTTATTCTAATCCAATTTCTGGCAAATTTAGGACTTAATTATATCTTGACACATTTTTTACCCTTTTAAAGACTGTTTCAATCCTAACATTAAAAAAATAATATTCTCTGTCTTGAGGGAATCAGATAAAATCAATTACAGATTAGAATATCTTTGAATTAAAATTCTTGGAAAGAAATACACCTTCCACCTATACCAATAATTAACTGCTTAAAACTTCAACTATGGTGGAGCATTTGGAATGCTGTGGGGCCAGAGTCTATCTTTAATTTATTAAGGTGCTATGTTTATTCCTTAATTGTCATTCCTTGCCCATTTTAATTTCTGATCAAATATCCTTAAAATTAACAGATAAAATATTTTGGAATGTAGTACAACCACTACTTTCCACCAACCAAAACACCTAAGAATATTGTCCCCATCTGTGGTCTGCAGTAGAGACTCCTGAGCTTTGTAGTAAACCATCCGCTTGATGTTTCCACCAGTGTATTTCAAATGTACTTTAACGTATGACTTTCTCTATTGTACTACTATAGAAACTTCATGAAATCATCATTGTGCTTGAATTTGGAATTTTGGCTAGGCTGAATTTGTATTACTTGGCCATAATCACTCATATTTGGCTCCAGAAAAAAAAGCTGTTTCTTACCTTCTTTGTGGGAGTGAAGGATGCTTTTGCAAGGATACATAAACCACTATGTGACTTGCAAAACAAAATCTAAATCATATATATATATTTTTTTGTCTTTGGGTTGTGTGTGCAATGATAATGAATGTGTATATGTTTTCTTTTTTATTAATTTTTTATTTTAATTTTAAATAGCTTGTTTTACATGTCAATCCCAGTTCCCTCTCTCTCCCCTCCTCCCGCACTCCCCCATTCCCCCCAGCCTCCCACCCTATTGCCAATTCCTAGATATAGGGGATATCTAGAGTCTGTCATTTCACTCAGGGTAGGGTCCAGGCACTCCCCTAAGAGTCCAGGCTGAGAGAGCATCCCTCTTTGTGCTATGGGCACACGATAACTGTTTGTATTCCAGGGATAGACACTGATCCACTGCTCAGGGACCCATAGGTTGCTCAGACCTTCTCACTGACACTCACATTAGGGGGGAGGGGTCCAGAACAGTCCCATGCTGGCCTTCCCGCTGTCAGTCTGGGGTCCAAGGGGTCTCCCCTGTTCAGATCAGCTGTCTCTGCTGGTTTTGCCAGCCTATTCTTTGTCAATTTGCTCATCACTCCTCTCTCTCTGTCACTGGGTTGCTTGGGTTCAGTTCAGTGCTTAATTGTGGGCATTTGCCTCTGCTTCCATCAGTAACTGGATGAAGGCTCCCATATGGTTATAGATATCAAGTTCATTATCAGGAATGGGCATTCGAGGTGGTCTCTCCACTATTGCTTAGCTTCCCAATTGGTGTCATTCCTTTAGATCACTAGAGGTCACTCTGGTGCCTGATCTGTCTTCTAAGCTATGATTCCCACTTCCCCCTATTCTACACCCCCACTCAACCTTCCTTTCCCCCATGACCTACTCTCTCTTCCTCTTCTCCCCCTCTCTTCTTCCCAGCTCCGACTCTCCCCCACCCCTTGCCGTGTTCCCCATCCATTCAGAGGATCTTGTCTCAATCCTCTTCTCTTGGGTACTATGCATATCTTTTAGGTTCTTTCCTGTTTCCCAGGCTCTCTATCAGTGGAAGTGCAGACTGGCACTATCCTGATCCATGTCTAAAATCCATATATGAGTGAATACATACCATGTTTGTCTTTTTGCGACTGGGTTACCCAAATCAGGATGGTTTCTTCCAGTGCTATCCATTTACCTGCGAATCTCAAGATCCCATTGCTTTTTTCTGCTGAGTAATACTCCATTGTGTAAATGTACCACATTTTCTCTATCCCCTCTTCAGTTGAGGGGCATCTAGGTTGCTTCCAGGTTCTGGCTATTACAAATAATGCTGCTATGAACATAGTGGAGCAGATGCCCTTGTTGTATGAACTTGCCTCATTTGGATATATGCCTAAGAGTGGAATTGCTGGGTCTTGTGGTAGGTTAATTCCCATTTTCCTGAGGAATCTCCATACTGATTTCCAAAGTGGCTGTACAAGTTGGCACTCCCACCAGCAGTGGAGGAGTGTTCCCCTCTCTCCACATCCTCTCCAGCATAAACTGTCATTGGTATTTTTTGATTTTAGCCATTCTGACAGGAGTAAGATGGTATCTCAGAGCTGTTTTGATTTGCATTTCCCTCATGGCTAAGGATGTTGAGCACTTTCTTAAGTGTCTCTTGGCCATTTTAGCCTCCTCTCTTGAGAATTCTCTATTTAGTTCTGTACCCCACGTTTAATTGGATCCTTTGGTGTTTTGGAGACTTGCTTCTTGAGTTCGTTGTAAATTTTGGAGAATAGCCCTCTCTCAGATGTGGGGTTAATGAATATCTTTTCCCATTCTGTGGACTGCCTTTTTTTCTCTTATTGACTGTGTCCTTTGCCTTACAGAAGCTTTTTAGTTTCAGGAGGTTCCATTTGTTAATTGTCGATCTCAGTGTTTGTGCCACTGGTGTTATGTTTAGGAGGTGGTCTCCTGTACCAACTCGTTGAAGAGTATCTCCCACTTTCTCTTCTAAAAGTTTCAGTGTGGCTGTATTTATGTTGAGATCTGTGATCCTTTTGTACTTAAGTTTTGTACAAGGCAATAAACATGGATCTATCTGCAGTCTTCTGCATACCAGTACCCAGTTATGCCAGCACCATTTCTTTTTTCCATTGTATAGTTTTAGCTTCTTTGTCAAAAATCAAGTGTTCATAGGTGTGTGGGTTAAAAATCAGGGTTTTCAATTCAGTTCCATTGGTCTACCTGCCTATTTTTGTGCCAATACCAAGCTGTTTTCAGGACTATAGCTCTATAATAGAGCTTGAAGTCAGGTATGGTGATGCCTCCTGAAGTTCCATTATTGTATAGGGTTGTTTTGGCTATTTTGGGCCTTTTGTTTTTCCATATAAAGTTGATTAATGTTCTTTCCAGGTCCTTGAAGAATTGTGATGGAATTTTGATAGGGATTGCATTGAATCTGCAGACTGCTTTTGGCAGCATTGCCATTTTTATTATGTTGATCCAACCAATCCAAGAGCATGGGAGATCTTTCCATTTTCTGGTATCCTCTTTGATTTCTTTCTTTAAAGACTCAACGTTCTTGATATACAAGTCTTTCACTTCCTTGGTTAACATTATCCCCAGATATTTGATGCTGTTTATGGCTATTGTAAAGGGTGATGTTTCTCTGATTTCTTTCTCAGTCACTTCATCATCTGTATATGATAGGGCCACTGATTTTTTTTGAGTTTACCTTGTATCCTGCCACATTGCTGAAGGTGTTTATCAGTTCTAGGAGTAACCTTGTGGAGTTTTTCGGGTCACTTATGAAAACTATCATATCATCTGCAAATAGTGAAAGCTTGACTTCTTCTTTTCCTATTTGTATCCCCTTTATCTCCTTTTGTTGTCTTATTGCTGTAGCTAGAACCTCAAGTACAATATTGAAGAGATATGGAGAGCGTGGGCAGCCTTGTCTTGTTCCTGATTTTAGAGGAATTGCTTTGAGTTTCTCTCCATTTAGTTTGAAACCTAGATCCAAGGAAGATAACTACACTCACAAAGACACAGGCAATATATAATCCCACTTTACAAAACACAAAAAGAAAAAGGGAGGAGAAACTACATAAAATAACTTCACTAACAATAAATCAAGCACAAACAGGAACCATCAATCCATGGTCATTAATATCCCTCAATATCAACGGCCTCAACTTGCCTATAAAAAGACACAGACTAGCAGAATGGATATGAAGACAGAACCCTTCCTTCTGCTGCATACAAGAAACACATCTCAACATCAAAGACAGACGTCATCTCAGAGTAAAGGGTTGGGAAAAGACCTTCCAATCAAACGGTCCCAAGAAACAAGCAGGTGTAGCAATCCTAAAATCTAACAAACTAGACTTCAAATTAAAATCAATCAAAAGAGATGAAGAAGGACACTTCATATTCATCAAAGGAAAAATACATCAAGATGAAGTCTCAATTTTAAACATCTACGCCCAAAATACAAAGGCTCCTACATTCATGAAAGAAACATTACTAAAGCTCAAAATTCACATAAAATCTCACACACTAATAGTAGGAGACTTCAACACTCCGCTCTCAGTGCTAGACAGGACCTCCAGACAGAAACTTAACAAAGAAACAAAAGAACTAATAGAAGTTATGACCCAACTGGGTTTAACAGACATCTATAGAACATTCCACCCAAACACAAAGGGATATACTTTCTTCTCGGTGCCACATGGAACCTTCTCTAAAATTGGCCACATAATAGGAAACATAGCAAATCTCCACAGATACAAAAACATTGGAATAACCCCCTGTATCTTATCAGACCACCATGCATTAAAATTAGAATTCAACAATAACACAAATCACAGAAACCCTACAAAACCATAGAAATTGAACAATGCACAATTGCACCATCCCTGGGAAAAGGAAGAAATAAAAAAAGAAATTAAAGACTTCCTGGAATTCAATAAGAATGAAGACACAACATACACAAACTTATGGGACACTTTGAAAGCCGTGCTGAGAGGAAAGTTTATAGCACTTAGTGCCCACATGAAGAAACTGGAGAACAGTCATATTAGAGAATTAATAGCACAGCTGAATGTTCTAGAACAAAAAGAAGCAAACTCACCCAAGAGGAGCAGACGCCAGGAAATAATCAAATTGAGGGCTGAAATCAATCAAGTAGAAACCAAGAAAACACTGAGAAGAATCAATGAAACAAAGAGTTGGTTCTTTGAGAAAATCAACAAAATAGACAAACCTCTGTCCAAACTAACCAAAAGACAGAGAGAGAGCATGCTAATTAACAAAATCAGAAATGGAAAAGGGGACATAACAATGGACTCTGAGGAAATCCAGAGAATCATCAGGGCATATTTTGAAAATCTGTACTCCACAAAATTTGAAAATTTAAAGGAAATGGACAATTTCCTGGATAGATATCACTTGCCAAAACTAAATCAAGAGCAGATAAACAATCTAAACATACCTATAACCCCTAATGAAATAGAAGCAGTCATCAAAAGTCTCCCAAACAAAAGAAAGCCCAGGCCCAGATGGCTTCAGTGCAGAATTCTACCAGAAATTCAAAGAAGAGCTAATTCCAATACTCCTCAAAGTATTCCACACAATAGAAGCAGGAGGCTCACTGCCAAACTCTTTTTACGAGGCTACAATTACCTTGATACCCAAGCCACACAAAGACACAACTAAGAAAGAGAACTATAGGCCAATTTCCCTCATGAACATCGATGCAAAAATACTCAAGAAAATACTCACAAACCGGATTCAAGAACACATCAGAAAAATCATCCACCATGATCAAGTAGGCTTCATCCCAGGAATGCAGGGATGGTTCAACATTAGAAAATCTATCAGTGTAATCCAACATATAAACAAACTGCGAAAGAAAAACCACATGATCATCTCACTAGATGCTGAAAAAGCCTTTGACAAAATCCAGCACCCCTTCATGATAAAGGTCTTAGAGAGATCAGGGATAACAGGAACATACCTGAATATAATAAAAGCAATATAGAGTAAACCAACAGCTAACATCAAACTATACGTTTTCATATGTGTGGCTGCACTTGTGTGTGTGTGTGTGTGTGTGTGTGTGTGTGTGTGTGTGTGTGTGTACAAGTCCGCTGTAGGCATCAGATATCTTCCTCAATTGTTCTACACTCTGGTTGTTGAGCTATTGCCATTTGCATAATGTGGAGCTTGCCAACCCCAGCTAGTCTTTCTAATGCATTGGCAAGAAGCTCCCCGTCTCTGTCTCCCTGGTTTTCGGATAAAACAAAAGTGTGTATCATGCCTGCCATGTTTTTCCATGAGTTTTGGAATCTGAATTCCAGTCCTGATGTTTGCACAGAAAGCACTTTACCCACTGAGCCATCCATCTCAAGACAGGGAAACAAGGATACACTCTTGTAAAGTTTGCTCGTTGTTAAGAAGCTATTTTGAGAGTTAAATGCAGACCATGCTATAAAAGACACACATTGCCAAGTCCTTCAGGACACCCCAAAATGTGAACACAAAGTGCTCCATTTTAAAATCAATCAAGGTGAGGCAAAGCTTAAGCTGCAATTGATTTTGGCTAATTTGCAAGTAGAAAGGTTTAGAACTTGAATAATTTCTTTCCTTCTTTACCTGGTTCACCTATTCAGTGAGTTGCCTAATTATTAGCCTTGCTTGTTTGTTTATTTACTTCAGTTAATTCCTGGGTGAGATAACTTTTGATTTATTTCAACTGTCCTTGGCTAGATGAAAGAAACTACAAACTAAATGGGGAGGAGGGTGAGAGACTTTTTTTAAGCCACTTGAGACAAGTAAAAAGAAAAACCTCTAATCCAAAATGCTAATTTGTAAACTATGTATTTTTTGAATTGAGCTAAAAAAAAGTGAAAAACACAGAACATTTTAGCTTCCTTTTAGTGATTTCACAGAAAAACAAGGATAAAAAGGAAGAACAGTAACTCTATCCCATTAGGCTGAGATTAGAATGGTAACAGATTATTCGTTCTGATGGCATTCATGATCAGAAATCCTCCAGCCCTTGCTGCCTTCCCAAGCCATCAGCATGCAATAGTCTTTCAAAACGCGTTTGCTACATTTTTGAAGCTGTAAAGGAAACATACTGTCTGAATGGTAAAGGAGCTGCATTTCAAAAGCACTGAGGCTTCCTTTCATAGATTTCCCCAAAACTTTTCTTAAGAGAGCATAGGCAAGGACATTTTCAATGCTGATGGAAATAATCAAGATAAACGTTCCCCTGTATCTCTCTGATCTGCGTTGCATCCTTCTCGTGAATGTCAATATGTGCCAATGAGCAAAATATAAAATACTTGCATACAGTCATATGCAAACACACATAAAGTAAACATAAACATTTGCAAATTTGAATTTTTGTATCAGGAAAATGGCGACTCAGTAAAACATTTTTAGCAGAATAAGTGGTAGAATATTTTGGCTGTTTTCAGAAATGCCTAATTAATCGGGTATCTTTTTTTTCCAAATTGTATATTATACAAAGTAATTCCCCTACTTTCCTTTGATAAAATTATTGGTTTATGTGAATACAGTTAGTTTAAAATCTGCTTGTGGTAGGGGAGTTTGCACCTTACTTTTCAACTTAATGAGGTTTTACTGAAAATTCATATAATTATTAAAATATTTTTGTAGAATTATACTTAGTGCTATTATAACTAAAGTTCTAGCTGCATTTAAATGTGTTTTTTTCTTCTAGAAATTTAAAAACCTGGTGCATTGTTCACAATTTCCATGCTGAAAGGCAGTCTGTCAAACTGAAATAGCTACACAATACAAGCGATTTTGTGACTCAGTTCTTGATTGCAGACAGCTGAGATTCAATAACTACAGGGGAATTGAGGACACCATCCAGACGTCTGTAATAATCCCCCTAGCTTTTTCCCTGCTAACTTGAATGCTGCTTCAATGTGTCTGCCTATTTCTTGGCCCTATAATTAAACAGCAGAGAAGCACGGATACACATTTTGATCATATAAAAATTTAGCCACTCACAAAAACACTAAGGAATGTACTCACTGAGTTCTCTCATCCAGAAGCTTTGGTTTGATGGTTCCTAGGACCCCGCAACTGATGACCATAACCTCAAAGGTATCCTGGAATTACAGAATATCTTTAGCATCAGAGAACAATCAGAGACGACCAGAATCAACAGAACCTTCACACACACACACACACACACACACACACACACACACACACACGTGCGCACGCGCACGCGATAAATACCCTACTCTCTGAGATGAGTCAAATGATATAAATAGTCCATTACTGCAGCACTAGGCTCTTTTTCTGAAAGAAAAACAACAACACAAATGATGTATTCTGCAACAAAGCAGAGTACAGAGTAGGCAAAGGAATAATAGAATTGTTCTTACTCTGAAAATGCTCAGTGATCAAATACAAGAATGTACCTAAAACTCCACATAGATGCCAGCACATGAAATCACAACTGAAATCTACTCCTGCATCAATTGCCATGAACTTTTATTCATATTCATTGGTTTTAACACAGTTTCACTCAGCCCAACATTGATTTGCAGGCATTGGAGCTGGCATTTAAGGATGTCTTTTTAACATACATGCCAATGTTTTTGTTTCTTTGTTCATGTGGACTTCAGTACTCAAGAAAATCTGTAATTTAAAGGAGCCTATGCTACTGCTAAACCCATGATGATGGGAAAGAATATAGGAAATGAGGCTATTCCGTGTTGTTTTCACGTTCCAACACAAATAGTCTGAGACTTATTTAATATTCCTCCCATTTCTTTGTGTAGCAGATCTTCTTTCACTCTTCTGTTGTTCTTATTAAGGCCAAACTTCCATTCAATGCATTAGTAAAACCTGAACCTTCTACTCAACCCTGAGGCTAATCCCTGCTATCTATATAGTCTGTCAGAAATGTGGTACTACCCTGATAGGCTTAAAGCTCTTGAGGTCTTAAGGGATGGAACCCATCATTCATAATGAGTTTAGGAGTCAACTGCCTAGTCTCTCTGTTAACACAGTGATTATTTATTTATTTATTTATTTATTTATTTATTTATTTATTTTTTGGTTTTCCGAGACATGGTTTCTCTGTATTGTTTTGGAAGATGTCCTGGAACTCGCTCTGTAGACCAGGCTGGCCTCGAACTCACAGAGATCCTCCTGCCTCTGCCTCCCGAGTACTGGGATTAAAGGCGTACGTCACCAATGCCCTGCTCAATACAGGGAAAGTACAACAGTTGGCCTCTTTAGAATTTGAAATGCTTTATTATGGAAGTGTCACAAACCCCCTTCCCTACTTTAATACAGGGTCTTTTTATGTAGGTGTGACTGTTTGGAACTCTCTATGTAGACAAGGATAGCTTCAAACTAACAGAGATCCACTTCACTCTGTTTTTTCAGTTCAGGGATTAAAGGTTTGCACCACTATGCAAATTGTTTCCTTCCCATTTAGAAAGTGTCATGAAAAGGAGGAATATGGTGGTTTTTCTTTCCTTCTTTCATATATTCTTTTTAACCTAGGTTGCATATATATGCATATTGGTGGAAAGAATAGAACCTGAGTAGTACCCCTGGCTCTTCCCAAATGATTGTAAGATCATAAATACGTAATGTTCATCCCTTCACTAAGAATTATACCAAACTGATTTGCTAGTCACCATCAAGAAAACATCTGTCCCAGAACCTCCAAGAAAAAGTGTTATATCTAAAAACGAGTTTAAAAAGACAGAGGAATAATAACATTGGTAACAAGCTATTTGCTTATAATTTCCAGCTCCCTAATCAGCTGCTGCCTGTCAGGTTCACAGCTATACCTACCTTCTTTATGAATTCTCACTCAGAAAGCATATCTTTGTTGTTAGTGATGTTAGCATGTTTGTCTTTTGTGTTTTGCTTTCCCCCTTTGGACACCAATTTAAACCTTAAGTCTTCCCGAAGAACTGTAGCAAACCACATGACTGTGTGCCTGCTCTCTAACTCAGAAAACATAACATGTATTTATGTGTTTCTGTATTTATTTTTTGTTTTTTTGTTTTTGAGACAGACTTTCTCTATGCAGCTTTGGAGCCTGTCCTGGAACTTCCTCTGTAGATCAGGGTGGCCTTGAACTCACAGGAATCTGACTGCTTCTCCCTTCCTAGTTCTTCCCAGATGTGCCACCAACATCTGGCTAGAAAACACAACTTTTTATCTTTCCTCCTACCTATGTCTTTCAGAAGCTACCTAGATCTTTGGCTTATCTGTCTTGTTTATGGTATCTATCAAACTCCAATAAATTTTACTTCAAAGATTTTTTTTTCAGTCTGTTTTTAAATTCTTTTACATAGGACCTACAAAAGGCACCATTTCTTTCTAAGACCATTATCTTATATCCTCATCTGGGTTATTTGAAAAAAGTCTGTATCCATAATGATTATTGAATACATTCAACTTTTCATACAATCTATATTATTCCACTTTGCCATTTATCAATTATGCTAATCATGTTCAAGAACAAATGGAAAGTTGTCACCAACACCAGCAGGTTTGTTTAATCATAGCAAGTCTCTAATAGTAGGAAACATAAACTCTGTTTAGGACTACACCAACTTGGAATAAGACAGCCAAATTTATAAACACTCTAAACACTTGGAAAAGGACATAGTGGGCTCCTGGTATTTTCCTTACCATGTATTGAATAAGGTCATCTACTGACTCAGATAAAAATAGCCTGTTATGACTATACCTACATCTAAAAATCTTCACAAATCCAAAAATATATTGAATGAGGAACTAATCCTTTTGTAAAGGCAAAGTTCTACCTGGACTATGAGGTCAGGACCTTTAAACTAATGTGCTTAAGGCATGGCATTACTGTTGTAAGACTTATTGCTAATATCCTAGCATTGTTTATGACCAAGGTCACAAGGACTCCTTAGACTTTATTCAAGGGTGAGAGAAGGAGTAAATGCAAACTCAAATACATCTTTGCCCTCATACAGTGTGTGTATATGGAAAAAGTCAGGTACTACAAAAATACAATAAACAACTAAGTTAATATAGTAATAAATGTTTTTAAAAATATGAATGTGTATAAGGAAAGACGATGTGCCAATAATTTTAATATTTTCCTTGGTTATTTGACAATTGAGCCTGGTCTTGCATGAAATGAGACCTACAGATATAAAGATAGGTACTTTATTTTTTAAAAAAGAGAGACAGAGAAGAAAATATTTGCGAAAGTAAAGACCCAAATACATGTGGTTTGTTTATAAAAAGTCTCATGAGAGGTGGCTCTCATTTCTAAGACCTTTAAGACCCGGTGTCACTTAGATTAGACTCCATATAATTTCCTTGATTGTATTTTTTTAGAATAACCATTGTCTACCATATTTTACTTCTATATTTCTGGCATCATTCTTTTGATTTAATTTTTCATTGGCCTTTAGCTACCTCACATCTCATTCTGGGAGTTCGGAACTCTAGTCAAAAGTGTCTAATAACTTACCAATCCAGTCCACCTCCGCAAAAGTTTCTTATGAAAGCAGAGACGACAGCAAAGCACATGATCTCTGGAGCCCAGCAACTTTTGAGTGTTTTGTTTTGTTTTTTAATACTCCCTGGCCTGCTATTTCTTTCAGCCATTTACTTAGGTTCCCTCTATATATCTGCTTGCCTAGACGGTGACTATAACCTTGTGAAAAGACTCCATTGTCAATATGACTCCAAATTTCAGTTTGTCATAAGAGAAACCTACACATGATTTGGAAGGCAGATGGAAAACACTGTCTCTTTTCCAAAAGTCAGGACAGTAAGGCATGAAAATAATAGACACAGAAGTGGAAGCAGGCTCCAGCTTTTCCTAGACCTTCCTGTTCCATACAGAAAATTGTTTTGACGAAATCTCCACCTCCTCTTGGCATGTAATCACCAGATCCGACAGCATACTGCAATCAGCTAGAGGAACTGAACTACACAGATCTCTTTAAGAGTTTGCTCGCTTGACCACATCAGTGTCGCAGAAGTCCTGCAGACCCCATTTCCTTTTTTTGAGCTATTACTTCCCAAGTGACCTCTACGGTTTTGGGCATCTTCCTCCTTCAATGTATCTCTCGTTCCAGAACATTCCAGGGATTCTGTTACTGAGCTCCTGCTCCCTTCCCACATCAAGTGTTTTTATAACAGCCCATATTGTTTCACTATGATTGAAAAGAATTAACACATTGCCTTCACTTTTTTATGACTTCGGAAATTAAACCTGGGAATCAGTAGACATCAAGAGAGTCCACGTCCAATATCATATTGCTTCTTTTTCAAATAAATATTTCTGACACTGTTCAACTACCACTTAATTGCCAATAGGAAATCATGGAAATTCACAAGCAGGATTTCCAAGCAAATATGAGTTGGAAAAGATATAACAGGATTATATCTTTTAACAAGACAGGGAAATGCCCTTAGTCCAGCAACTGAGAGAAGCACTCTTAATACAACTTTATGAAAAGTAAAATTAAGTGTGAAGGTTGGTTAACACTCAAGTTAAAAAGTTACAAAGGTTTTAAATCTCCATTTATTGCCCCTTTTTCCCAATGAGGTTAATTATTATTAGTGTGAAACTCTGAAAACCCAAACATTAGGAATTCTTATATGGTATTACAGCAGAATTACCTATGCATGTCATTATGTCTTCATGAGTCTTCAGTACATTTAAATTTGATGTGATATTGAGTAGTGAATTTACTTCTATATACCTCTGTCCATGTATATGCATACATGTATAATGTCTTCAAGACATGTTAGAACCTTTATCTTAATTTAAGGACAATCGATGTTAATTTAAGGACAGGTGAAGTTAACACAATTATTAGTAGATTGCAGAGCTTTAAAGTATTATATTCCAATTTGGTTTTGTGTATTAGTAGTAGAAGATGTTATAGGAAACACTTATTTGGGAAAATAAGACTGATAGAATGCACAAAAATATTTTCTTGAAGAAAAGTCTGTTTTTAAGATATGAAAAGTAGGGTCATCCTCAGAAGAATGAGACAGATAATATAGATTATGATATATAAAGATGATATATACACATACATATGATAAAATGTATGAGACTGGTAAAAAGAAGGGGATACCTGAAAAACCCAGAAATTTAAAACTTGAATTTAAAAGTTAGTTTGAAGGGGA